GTCTGTGTTTAATTGACTATACAAAGGCATTTGACTGTGTCAGTCACAACAAATTGTGACTAACCCTCAGAAGAAAGGGAATCCCAGAACACTTGATTATGCTCACATGAAACCTATAGTTGGACCAGAAAGCAGTCGTCAGAACAGAGCAAGGAAACACTGCATGGTTCAAAATCAGGAAAGGAGTGTGTCAGGGTTGCATCCTGTTTCCATACCTTTTCAGTCTTTATGCGGAACATATTGCTTGGGAGGCTGGACTTTGAGGAAGAATATGGCATCAAAACTGGAAGAAGACTCATCTACAACCTATGTTTTGGAGATGACACAGCCTTCCTTGCAGAAACTTAGAGGACCTGAAGCATTTGTTGCAGAATGTCAAGAACTGTAGTCTTCATTATGGGCTGAAGCTCAACATCAAGAAGACAAAGATCCTCACCCCTGGGCCAGTTGGCAGCACCATGATTGATGGAGAAGGGATTGAGGTTGTTAACAATTTCAGCATGTTTGGTTCCACAGTCAACATTCTTGGCACCAGCGCTTAGGAAATCAAAAGATGAATCACACTGGAGAAGTCTATTGTCAGAGACCTTTCTAGAAGAGAGCAGTGATGTCAGTCTGGAGACTAAGATGCACCTGATCAAAGCCATAGTCTTCTCAAGTACTTTCTTTACATCAGAAAGCTGGATGATGACTAAGTATAATAGAAAAAGAATCAATGCTTTTGAGTTGTGCTGGAGAAGAGTATTGAACATACCATGGACCACCAAGAGAACATACAAGTCTGTCTTGGAGAGGTTGAAACCAAATTTCTCCTTGGAGGCAAGGATTTTGAAGCTCTATCTCACATACTTTGAGCATAGGACCAATCCCCGGAGAAGGACATCATGCTTGGAAGTGTAGAGGGACAGCGAAGGAGAGGAAGATGCTGAATGAGATGGATAGACACAGGAACTGGAGTAATTGGGGTAGGTGTGTCAGAGTCAGTGAGACTCAAAGCAGGGCAAGGTTTAGAGTTATTTTACACAGGGTAGCTATGAGTTGCAGGTGACTTGATGACACATGACAACATCTGTACACATGCAGAAGACTCATCACCAGCCTGCATTATTCAGGTGACACAACCTTGCTTGCTGAAAGTGAAAAGGACTTGAAACACTTGCTGCAGACTATCAGCTTCCAGTATGGATTTTATCTTTATATCAGAAAAAGAAAAAAATCCTCACCCCTGGACTGATAGGCAGCATCATGATAGATGGAGAGAAGATTGATGTTGTCATCAATTTTATCTTTTATCTTACTTGGATCTACAGTGAACACCTTAGTACCAGCAGTCAGAAGATCAGAAAACATTGTATTGGGCAAGTCCGCTGGCAGGGACCGCTCCAGATTACTGAGGACCAATGATGTCAATTTGAAGACTGAGGTCTTTGATTCAGACTGTGAACTTTTCAATCACTTGCTGTGCATCTGAGAGCTGGATAAAGAATAAGAGCAACAGAAAAAGAATTGATATTTTTGAATTGTGGTGTTGGAGGTTGCCCCGTTGACTGCCTACATAACACAATGTCTTGGGAAGAATGCAGGCAGAATGTACCTTGGAGGCACAGATGAAGAAGCTTCATCTCACATACTTTGGGTAAATTGCTAGGGGAGGCTCTTCGTTGTAGAGGGACATAATACTGGGAAAGGTGGAGAGTCTACAAAGGGGAGGGAGACTGTCAACAGGCTCAGTTATGTCAGAGTTAATGAAGATGCCACAGTGTTGGACAGCGGCCAGATCTCTTGTTCAAAGGGTCACTATGGATTGTACTCAACAGCACCTAAAAATATCTAACAACAGTAACAATACATTTTGTAATACATGCTGCCTGATACATGTATCATAAACTCAGGTAATGACTGAAGTGATTGAAGCAAATTACAGTGCTACAGGAATGGACATATTTCAACA